CATTGTCAGGAATTAAATTACTTATATCAGGAATTAATTCTTTATGTTAGAAATTTGATTGAGTTAGTCAGAAATAAACTTGTTGTATTCAGGAATTATATTGAGTTCATCAGGAATAAACTAGTCACTGTTATTAATTAGATTGTGTTAGTCAGTAATTTATATTATGTAGTATAGATTATTATTGTCATGATTTAGAAGACTTTTGTTTGATAATTATATTTTTTTTTCCTTGTAGGAAGAACAACCTCAGCCTAGAGATGCATGTGATGTTTTAGAATTGCTGAGGAACAAAACTGTTGCTACTGAATCTATTCCTATTCCTATTGATTCTATTCCTTTGGATTCTCCTACTGCTGCTACTGGTGACATTATTTTAGTAGATAAAACTCCTGCTCCTCCTAGTATTGATGATGATGAGTTTATAGTATCAGAAAAACAGCCTCCCAAAACACACATTGAGTTAATTGATGTTGATAAAATTCCTAGTTCTACAGATGTTCCTGGTGAATCTACTATGATAGCAGCTGATAAATATTCTGGAAAAAAAGAGAAGAGAATTCATGAATTAAGACAAAGGCAGGAGGAGAAATTGGTAGCAGCTGGTGGTTTAGGTTGGGTTCTACCACCTATTCACAAGATTCCAATTCAAAATAAAGACAAGATTGTGTGTAGGAATTTGCAAGAAAACAAGCCTTTGTATCTAAAAAGATTGATTGAACATGAATTATGCATGTGTGATTACTTGTTTTTTATGCACTATTTTGAGCAGCTTGAGTTAGATCCTACTGGTGAAGATGAGGGAGTTAAGAGGCGTAACAACAGTCTTTACGTACAAGATATAGGTACTGTTATCTGTCAGTTTCGCACTGAAGATCCTGAACAAAGTGATCTTATTTTGGTAAAGGAGGAGTTATGTTCCCTACGTCTGTCTGAGTAGGTTAATTCTGCTATTCATGATACTTGGGCTACTGTGCTCAACATTGAAGAGAGTAAAAAAACTGACAGAGGAGTTTTTCAATATAAAAGATTTGTTTTTCAAACTGAAGTTGCTGTAAGTTTTTTTTTCTTTCTTTACTTCACTCAGAAATAAATTTTATTTATAATATACTGTATTTAATATATTTTTTTGTTTTGCAGAATCTTACATGGAGATACTTAGAAAAAAGGGCAACTTACAGAAAAGAAGTTGCTAACATAAAGAAAAAGGAGGCAATTTTGAAAACTTTGAAAAATAACTCAGTAGAGTATAATAAGTGTAAAGAGGAATAGGTAAAAATGGAGATGGATTGTCAATTGAATATGCATAAAGGTGAGGACATTTATGACAGCATTTGCAAGTGGGTTAAGCGTTTTCCTTCATTCAACGTAGCCGAAGCCGATTTGGTAAATTTTTAACTTTATTTCTTCTTTTTATATTGTATATTCAGGAATAAGCTAAACCTAGTATGATACAAGATTTTATTAGTCAGATTTTATATTATTTTAAATCAGGAATTATATTACTTTAATCAGGAAATAACTTATTTATGTTAGTAATTAAACTGTGTTAGTCAGGAAAAAAATTGTATAGTAAGGAATTAAATTGTTTTAGTCAGGAATAATATTGTTTTAGCCAGGAATAAAATTGTTTTAGTCAGGAAATAAATTGTGTTAGTCAGTAATAAAATTCTGTAAGTCGGGAATATAAATTTTTTACTCAGATATTATGATCTTTTAATCCGATATTTGCTTCTTTTAGTCAGTTAATAAATGTGTTAGATATTGTGAAAATTATGTTTTATTTATTTTGCAGCTAATCTTTCCCATTGCGTTCGATAATCATCATACTCTGCTGGTTTTCAATTTCATTGATTGTATTGGTCCAAGAATAGATTGGATAAATAACAGGACTGATATTGATTGAGATAAATTAAATGGAATAGACAGAGTGCTGGTAAGATAATTTTAAATTAAATTTGTGAAAATTATACTTTTAGATGCTTTTAAATTTTAAAATTTATATATTTATAATTATAGATTAGAGCTGTTGGTATTTTTTTGAAAAAGAATGAACATCGACATGGTGACACAAATTTGGAACAATTGGAATGGCATGAACCTAAGTTTACATGGCAAACAACCCATGAAAATGAGGATTGTGGCCTTTTTGCATTAATGTGTATGAAAAATTACAATGGTATAACTGGAGGTCTTGTTGACTTAAAATATGTAAGTATTTTTTCTCCTTTGTTTTTGGATTTATACCTATTGTTTTTTAGTGTTCTTATTTTGTTTTTTATATAAATTTGTAGAAGCAAAATCGGAAGATATATAGATGCCAACTTGCTTATCAGATGGCTACTAGAGAAGAGAATTTTTTGCGGAAGAAATTGTGGAATGATTGCATTGAGTTTTCAATTAACAAGCACAAAATTTGGAAAGCTCAACCTGCAAGAAAGAAGCTAGAGGCCCAATATGAGAAAGAAAAGGAAGCCATTCAAAAGGAAAAAGAGAGGCAGTGGAAGTTGATGCAAAAACAACTAGAAAAAGAGCAGCAGCAATTGGAAATTGATCAACAGCTTCAGCAAAATGAAGAGGAAGATTAGATTTTTTTTTTTTTTAAACAATTAATCATACATGTACATATCATTAAGTTTTTTTGTAGTTAGACATTAGTTTTCTTTTGTATAGATACTTATAAATTTGGTTTATATATGTATATATTTTCTATTAAATCCAATTTCTATTAATCATACATCTATATATTAGTCAGATATTAAAGTACTTGTGTCAGAAATTAATATCAAATGTTAATTTTAAAAATTTTAAATATCAAACTTAAAATGAAGAATATGTTTGTCATAAATTAAATTACTCTTCTCAGGAATTATTTTATTTATGTTAGCAATTAAATTCTTTTGGTGAAGAAAAAAATTTTGTTAGTCAGGAAAAAACTTGATTTAATCAGGAATAAACTTCATTTAGACAGGAATAAACTTGAGTAAGTAAGGAATAAACTTGAGTTAATCAGGAATAAGATTTTTAAAGTCAGGAATGATATTGTGTTAGTTAGTAATACAATTAGTTTACTTAAGAATAAGATTCTAGAAGTCAAGAATTAACTCAGGAATTAAAACTCTGTTATCAGAAATTAAAATGTAATAGTCAGTAATAAAATTGAGTTATCAGATATTAAATCAGGCATGAAATTGTCTAAATCAGGATTAAAATTAGTTTAGTCAGGAATAAAATTTTGATTGTCAGGAATAAACTTCAGTTACTCAGCAATAAGACTTTTAAAGTCAGTAATAAAGTAAGGTTAGTCAGGAATAATATTGATCTAATCAGAAAATAAAATAATTTTTTTTCAGAAGTAATCAAACCTTAAAATGCCAAAATATAGTATTGTTTACAATTATCTTAAATAATAAAATAAAAAATTTGAAGATTGGCTTTATGATAGAAGAATGCAGCAATAGGGATGAATGAAATGAGTTGTGGATTAGGAGTTATTGTTCCAAACTCATTTGGATCTCTTGTTGCTGTTCTTCTTCTTTCAAAATATCCTCTAATTCTTTTGTTCTTCTTTGGCCTTCCCTTTGTTTTTGGTCGTTTAGGATCTTTTACTGTATTTCTTCTCTCTTCTTCTTCATCAAGTTCACGATTTTTTTCTTCATTTGTTTGGAACACTTTCCTTACAAATTTGTACATTTGTTCCAAAGCATCATCACATATTTTTGATGCTTCTTCATTCCCTTGACATATTGTCACAAGGTTGTAAAAATTCTTTGTTATTGATTGCCTCCAAGGAGTGTTTATTAATGAATGATCTGTAGTTGAATTTCCTAACCAAAAACAAAAAAAAACGGATTACTACATTTTTGTCAGTAATAAAAAAATTTTACTCAAGAATAATGTTATAATTTTCTGCTAAAACAATATTATAGTATCAGAAAAGTCATCAATAAGCTATGCCATGATATTTTTTTTTCTGTTTGAGTCATATGTTTTCTGACAAAATTTGTTGCATTTCTTAAAAAAAGTCATACAAAATTTAATAAAGTCATGAAAAAGTTCTATAAATCTGAAAAGTAATTTATTGCATCATTGAAAAGTCATTCTAATCTATAAAAAGTAATTTATTGCATCATTAAAAAGTCATTTAAATTTTACTGAGATTATAATTTTTTCTGTTAAATTACAGATTAATTATTGTTGTTCATACATAAATCTTCTCTATTTAAAGCCTGTTCTAAATCAAGTTTTTTCTATTAAAAGAGTTATATTAATATATACATTGTTTCTATAAAAGGTGCAGTTTTGTAACAATAAGTTATATTTTCTTCATCTAATCAAGAGTTCTAACATAATGGCTGATTTCTACGCAAATAAAGAAAAATGCACTATTACTTTCAAGACAATTCATTGCCTTAGTATGGTAAATATATTTTACATTAAGTTTTAAATTTATAAATTTGTTTTGTGTTTTAGTAAAAACTTAATGATTTCATTTTTTTTTTTTAATTTCAGCCACTTCCTGCAGAATGGAAGTTATTTCTTCTAAGATTCAGGCATCATGTTAGAGTCTATCCTGGAAATAATGGCAGAGAAGATAGATTTTGGGAAGTAAGAGTCATAAGCATACCACAAGATACAGGGTATGGTGGTATGTTGGTTGATCGTGAATGGGAAAACTTTGTAGCTACTAACAACATAGTTCCTGGAGACAGACTTGATATTTACCATGATCGTGATACCATTTACATTAGAATTTTTAATGCTGATGGTACTGAAAAGCTTCCTAATGAAGAAGAAAATGGTAGCAATGTTTAAGTTTTTTAATATTAAGATTATGTTTGTAATAAATCTGATTTTATATCAGAAATAATAATATCTGTATCAGATATTAAACTATGATTACCAGAAATAATAATATAAGAATCTGATTATAATATGTTGTTCATTGTAAATTATCTTCATGAATTAGATTATTTTTGTCATTTATTAGATTTGTTTTGTTATGAATTAAATTCTGTATGTCAGATATTAAAATATTTTAATCAGGAATTAAGCTGAATATTTCAGGAATTTGATTGTATATTTCAGGAAAAAAATTGTTTCAATCAGAAATTAGATTTAATATATCAAGAATAAGATTACCTAGGACAGGTATTATACTATTTAAGTTAGCTGTTGCATTTCTATGTCAGTAAATTATTTATGTTAGTAATTAAAATATTTAGTTCAGGAATAAAGATATTTTTATTTTATACTAAATAGGAAAGTAAAAAATTTAAAATAACAAAGTATGTACGTACCTGATTCATTCTCATCCCATATCCTTGATTTAGCAAGCTTGGTCCAACGTTTCAGAATGTATCTCTCTGGTATAGAATGTATGTTGTACATTTGCATTATCTTGATAATGTGAAAGCATAGCAATCCAGTCTCTATGAAGCACATACAAGAACACATAAATTCATTGTTTTGACAGTGATATATGACTTGATAGGTGTGCATATAATCTTCATCAAGAGAAACATCAAAGAATTTGGCGTATTGCATTGAAGTTGGCTTTTCCTTTGCATATGCTCCTAGGCTGGTCTCAAATTCCAACTTAAAATCCTTGTATAAGTTCAGAGTATAAACTTCAGCAGCATGGTTCAAGATTTTTGTTTTTGTTTTTGGTTTCTCAGTAGTACATCTGAAGTTGTCACTCTTTTCAGTGCTTCTCCATCTTCTAACAGTAGCTTCAAATATATGGAAGAACTCCAAAAGCTTAGTGATTATGTTAGCCTTAAATGAAATTGCTCTGTTTGTTACTTCTACTCTTTGAGATGAAAGGATTCCCGTAGAGAAAATATCCTTGCTCAAAGCACTGCACCATTTTTCTCGTAGCCCGAACAACCTATCAAACCATTCTTTTTTTTCTAATCCATATTTTTGAACCATCTTGTTCCATACATCTTCGAATTCTGATTCTGAATCACACCCACTTAAGCACTTGTGAAACATATTCTTGAATTCAGGGTTGTTTTTTTAAAGTTCCAAAGTGTGATACAAAATTCTTTTGCAAATGCCATAGACATAGCCTATGTCTTGAATTTGGATAAACCTGTAACAATCAAATAATTTCATTTTATAGTCAGATATTAGAAAAATAATGGAAGAAATTAATAAAACTTTGTCAGGAATTAAAGAGTCAACGTTAGATATTATATAACTCAAGTTAGTTATTAATCTATTTTTGTCAGGCATAACAATTTACTATTCAGGAATTAAAGTGTTTTAATCACATATTAAACAAATAATATCAAATATATATTTATTTTCTGCAATAATTATAGAAGAATTTGATATATTTTTATCAGTGTTTAGATTATATTTATCAGGAATTACCTGATATTCATTAGGAATTAGGAAAGTTATAGTCATTTTTTAGACAACATAAGTCAAATAATTTCATTATATAGTCAGTTATTAGATATATAGTAGCAGTAATCAATAAATTTTTGTCAGGTATTAAAGAGTCAAAGTTATATATTACATAACTCTAGTCAGTTATTAATTTATTTTTGTCAGGCATAACAATTTATTAGTCAGGATTTAAAGTGGTTTAGTGAGATACTAGATAAAATAAATCAAGTATTGTAGAAGTTTCTTCAGGGAAAATATTTTTTAATACAGAAATTAGTACATTTTGTTCATATATTAGATAACTTATAAACAAATAATGTCAATTATATATTTATTTTCTTCAACAATTATAGAACAATTTGATTTATTTTAATGAGTTTTTAGAAAATATTTATCAGGAATTACATTATATTTATTAGGAATTAGCAAAGTTATAGTCATTTCTTAGACAACATAAATCAAATAATTTCATTATATAGTCAGATATTAGATATATAATGGCAGTAATAAATAAATTTTTTTCAGGCATAACATTTTAATACAGAAATTAGCACATTTTGTTCACATATTAGACAACTTATATCAAGCAAAAATTTACTAGTGTTTGACTTTACTTAGAGTTGCTCTCAGTACTTTGTGGTTTGGATAAAGATATTTAAAATAAAGATATTTAACATGAAGATATTTACCAACTCTTTTGGATAAAGATGACAAAAATGTAAAAATAAGAATTATTCGTAGAAAATTATTCTAAAAGTAAATTATTTTTTTAATCTCTTATATTTGTCTATAAAACCAAGAATTGTTCATACATTTTGCATGTTTGTGTTCCTGTATATTCTCTCTCCTAAAACATACTCTTTTTCTTTTTTCCTCAATTATGGAAAACAATTCTCAGTCTTCTACTTCATCAAACGACCCAGAAGAAAATGTTTTTGATAACTTTGAAAAGATATTAAATTATCTACTTGAGAGAAGAGACAGAGTGAAAAATGGGTTGATGAAGCTGTATGAAAATTTTGAGAAGAACAAAAGCGAAGAACTGAGTAAGAGAAAGAGGGTTGAAGAAAAATTCCAGGAAGAACAAAACAAAAAAAAGAAAGAAGACGATCAACAGAAGAAGAAACAAGAAGAAGAAAAAGAAGATCAAATGAAAAAACAAGTTTAAAATCTCTAAAAGATGATTAAGATTCTAGGGTTTTGTTTTTTTTTTTTTTTTTTTTTTTTTGATATATTATATTTTTCAAAATAGTATATGAAATCAAGTATATTTCAGTAATGTACTTTGATTTTATTTTGGTTTCTCATGTATTGCCTTTATTTTTTTTAGTAAAATACTTGTTGGACAAATATTAGTATATTTAAATTTTCATATAATAGGTTATTTTTTTTCAATAATTTTAATATTATTACGTTGGACTTATGCTTTTGTTTTTGTTAATTCAGCTATTATTATATTAAAGTCAGATATAAAATGATTATACACAGATATTTCTATATTTTAGACAGGAATTAAATATTTTCAGAATTTAATTAGTGCTATTTGATTTATCAGTTATTAATCTCTTCTTGTCAGAATTAATAATATTTTAGTCAGTTTTTAAATTATTTTGATCAGAAATTACATGAAATTTTTCACTCAGAAATAACGTTGATGCATAGTAATATTTTTAACTCATTTATAAGCTTAAGTTAGACAGGAATTAGTTTTTATTAGTCAGTTGTTACATTTTTGGATTATTTTTTTCTTATGCATTATAATATTAGTCAGCATTTAAAGTAATCTCTTTTTGTCAGGAATAATAATATTTTAGTCAGTTTTTAGATTATTTTGATCAGAAATTACATGAAATTTTTAACTCGGAAATTATTTTGATGCATAGTAATATTTTTAACTCAGAAATAAGCTTAACTTAGACAGGAATTAAGTTTTATTAGTCAGTTGTTACATTTTTGGATTGGTTGATTTATGTTAGTCATAATAATATTTTAGTCAGGAATTAATGAGTAACAGTCAGATATTATATATTTAACGTTAGTTATTCTTGTATTTTTTGTCATGCATAATATTATACTAGTCAGCATTTAAAGTATTATAGTCAGATAATAGATTAATAGTTTCATATAATAGGAATTAACGTGATTTAAGTTATTCCATTGTATTAAAAATCAGAAATATTATTATTTCTTTCACGATTATTATATTTTTACTCAGGTATTATATTATTAAGTGCAGGAAATAAATTATATCTCTCAGAAAATCATTTTGTTGTGTTTTTCTAAAGAATGATAAAATTTTATTCAGCTATTATTATGTTAAAGTCGGATATAAAATGATTACAGACAGATATTTCTTTATTTTGGACAGGAATTAAATATTTTCAGAATTAAATTAGTGTTATTTAATTTCAGTTATTAATCTCATTTTGTCAGGAATAATAATATTTTAGACAGTTTTTAGATTATTTTGATCAAAAATTACATGAAATTCATAAGGAAGAAATGATATTCAAATACTTTCTTCTTATAGTCAGATATTAAATAAGTAATTGCAGTAATTAATATATTTTTGTCAGGTATTAAAGAGTCAAAGTCAACTATTTTATATATCATATCAGTTATTAATCAATATTTGTCAAGCATAACAATTTGTTAGTCAGTAATTAAAGTGTTTTAATTACATATTAAATATATAATATCAATTATAAAATTTATTTTCTTCATCAGTTTTAATATTATTTTCATCAGATATTACATGATATTTATTTGATATTAGTAAAGTTATAGTCATTACTTAGACAGAAATCAAATAATTTCATTTTACAGTCAGATATTATATATATCATGGCAGTAATTGACTTATTTATGTCAGGTATTAAAGAGTTAAAGTCAGATTATTTTATTTGATACTAAACATATCCTAATATAAAATACAGAAACTGCTTACCCCTGGTATGGCGTTGCTCATTGCAAGATCTTGATCAGTGAAGATTGTTTTTGGTTCAATTCCACACATTGACTTTTTGAAGATTGAAAGCAGCCAAACAAATGTATCGGTCTTTTCATCGGTTATGAATGCACATCCAAACATTGCTGTTTTCCAATGATTGTTTATACCAACAAATGGAGCACATATCAACCCATATTTGTTTGTTCTGTATGTTGTATCGAAGATTAAAACATCACAAAAAGCTTTGAAATCTTCAAGCATTTGGGAGTCACGCCAAAAATAGCTCACAACATTATTTTCTTCTCCAAATTTCAATCTATAAAAGAATGAGGGATCTTGATCTGCTCTTTCTTGAAGAGTGTCTAACACATTCTGCATGTCTCCACCTTCAACCATACTCATTTTCACCCTTGATACATAATTAAGGTGATCTCTCTTAGTATGACCTACACATTCTTCTCCTCCAGCTTCATTGCTTATATAATTATAAGCATCCATTGGTTTAATACCACTCTCAATCATGTTCTCAATTAGTTCACACATTGGCGTTGATATTTGCCTTTCTGATCTTAGATGATGTCGTTGAACTGCTATAACCAATTCATGATTATGCTCCAACTCATGTGTAACAACTTCGAAATTTCCTTCTTTGTTTTTCTTGAAACGAATATGGGCTTTACATCCAGTTCTTGTCTCATTTACCTCCCTATATTTTCTTTTTTTTTGCATCAGTTTTACCCAATAAGGGTATTTCCACAGTATTTTGTTCAGCTGCTATCTTCATTTTACCCTTTGTATGTCCTTCCTTAGAACATCTAAAATAAAACTCATACATTTTATCATTGGAATCTCTTCTCTTTGTTGATTTTCTGACACTGAAACCAACAGATCTTGAATGAGCTTTGTATAACACATATCCCTCATTGTAGTTTGATACTGTATAACTTGCTAGACATTTACTTATGTTTTCATCCTTGTCATATTTGTAATAATCTGCAACAAAAGTATACAAGTTGTCATTTATCTTCATATTTGTAATTATCTTCAGGAATTAGATTATTTTTGTCATTTATTAGATTTGTTTTGTCAGGAATTAAATTCTGTATGTCAGGTGTAAAAATGTTTTGATTAGGAATTAATTTGAGTATATCAGATATTATATTGTATATTTCAGTAATAAAATTGTTTAAATCAGAAATTAAATTGAACAATTTTATTAATTTAATTTTAGTGACAAAAAATAGTCAAAATATTACTAAAAAAAAGTCAAAAAATTGTTTATATTAGAAATTAGATTATAGTAGTCAGGAATAAAATTTATATTAATTATGAATTACCATGTCTTGATCAGAAAATAGATTATTTAAATCAGGAATTACTAAATACTAGTTAGGAAATAAATCATCTCAGTCTTTTTTAGGATTATATTAATCAGGAAATAGGTAATATTGGTCAGTAATAAAGTTATATTATTCAGAAATAATAATATTTGTATCTGATTATATGTTGTTCAATGTTAATTATCTTCAGGAATTAAATTATTTTTGTCATTTATTAGATTTGTTTTGTCAGGAATTAAATTCTGTATGTCAGGTATAAAAATGTTTTGATTAGGAATTAATTTGAGAATATCAGATATTATATTGTTATTTTAGTAATAAAACATTACTCAAAAAATAGTTAAAAAATTGTTTGAATTAGAAATTAGATTATAATAGTCAGGAATAAAATTGTCTAAGTCAGGAAATAGATGATAAAATACTCAGGACATAAATGATAGTCAGGTTTAAGAAATTATATTCAGAAATAAAAAAAAAAATTATTGCACACAAGAATTAGAATTTGAAAAGTCATGACCTTCCCTCTTCTAAAACATCAACACTCAAAACACTCAAAAAACACGTAAAATCATTTAAAAGACATAAAATTAATTGAATAAAATTAAATGTATTTACTAGAACCGAGGTTAATTATAAATGAAAAACACATATTTGAAAAGGCATGACCTTCCCTCTTCCTAAACTCTGCACTAATTCGCGCTCTAAACACTATATATAAGATACCACAGTGTACAAGAAACTATATTAAGGGAAAAAAAATTCATATAAAAATATAAATTGCTTCAGTTTGAATTTTAATCATTTTTATAAGAATATAACTACTGCGAACTACTGCTATTACAAAAGGTATATTTTTTTTCATTCTATGATCTTACATTTGTTAGTTTATTTTATTTTGTTTTGTTATGATTTATGTGTTTATTTTTTTTTGTGGTTAGATGGCTAATCATATTCCACACCCAGTTGATGCCTTAGAAGATGCACATCCAACATTAGCTGTTGAAGAGATATTATGCATGCATATTTTTCCTAGGTGCACCTTCAAAGCGCAGGCAATGATTAATTGTACATGTAAATATTATAATGAATTATGGTATTACAAATTTTGGATTCCAGAAATAGTAAGAAGAAATCAAAATTCAAATGAATGGTGGGTTGCATATGACATTATGAGGCATAATATTGGTTTTCACAATGGAATTGTGCAAGACTGGGCTGAATTTCTTGATGGATTACGTTTAATTTTTGAGGAAGAAGAAGCCAACAAGAATAAAAAAAAAAAAAGAGAAGAGGCAATCCAACCAGGAAGAGAGGAAAAAATAATAAAAATAGATGATGTAATTAGTAGTTTATGTTCAATGTTTTACAGATTATTATATTTGAATTAATAAACATAACATTTCAGTAATATGTAATTTATTTTTAAATTTTAATGATTTTATTTTAGTATTTGTTTTGTATGACGTTATTAAATTATTATATGTTTTTTGAAGTTTATAATACTCAGGAATTAACATATCTTAGTCAGGAATTAGATATTTTAGATCAGGTATTACAATATATTAGTCAGGAATAAAATTAACTCTTTCAGGTTTAAGATAATATTAGTCAGGAAACAGATAATAATAGTCAGTAATTTTATTATCAGATATATATATATAGTAATTAAATGTTTTTAAATTTATAATACTCAGGAATTAAGAAATGTTAGTCAGGAATTAGATAATGTTGTTCAAAAAGCTGATAAAGATAGTCAGTTTTAGGATAATAATATTCAGATATATCATAGCATATAGAAATTTTATTTCTTTTATCAAATCAGAAATTTTTTTCTAGTTAGAAATTACAATATATTAATCAGGAAATATATTATTTTAGTCAGGAAATAGATAATGATAATTATTAATTATAGGAATTGGAAAGAAAAGAAATAATATTAAACAGGAAATAGAAAATGATAATCAGGTTTAAGTTAGTAATAGTCAGTTTTAAAATAATTATAGTTAGGTTTACATTATTTTTACTAATTTTTATTAGGAAATAGGTTTCCATAGGAATAAAATTAATTCAGTCAGGATTCATATAATATTAGTCAGGAATTATATTGTCTGCAACAATAAATTACAATGCATTTAATAAATTTACATAACATAGTATACCTATTATACTTGCAGCATCTTCATCTCTTTCTTCATCATCTCTTTCTTCATTTATATTGTCTCCTAAAATTACATTATCTGCTGCATTCATCATTAGTGTTAGTATATTTGGATTTAATTCTAAAATTATAAAAAAAAACTGGATTCAAATTAAAATTTATTTTTCTGCGACATGTAATATAAACAATTTGTGAAATATAAATTAATCCTGATTTCAAATTCGATTGGAATATAAATTAATCCTGATTTCAAATTCGATTGGAATATAAATTAAGCCTGATTTTCAAATAAGTCAAAATTAACTACGATCTGAAATTCGATTGGCATTGATTGCTTATAATAAGTCGAAATTAACTCGAATTTAAATATGATCTGATATTAAATCAAAATTTACTACGATCTGAAATTCAATTTGGCTTGCATGCGATTTATAAGTAGAAATTCATATTTCAAATTCAAGAACTTTATAATTTTGAAATACAATCTGAAATCATTAACTATATAATTTTAAAATTGTTAAATATGATTCGAAATTGCATAAAATCAAAATTATGAACTAAATTGTACCTTTTTCAGCAGTAATTGAGCTAGAAATTGATTCAATAGGTGAATCAGAATGTCCTTCTATCATCATTTTATTATTTGATTTCTCCATTTTTTTATGAAATTTGAAGATTTGAATTCTCTGAAATTTGAGGAAATGAAGTGGTTGAAATTGGACGAAATGAAATTTCAGAAAATGACGGCGCACGAAATTTTATAAAAATGATGTAAACGAAATCGAAAATTCAGACACTGTATAAAATGGCGCGCGGGCTTTGGTCGGGTTGATTAGGCCCGCGCCTTTTTAAATAAGGATCCCGAAGGCCCGCGCCTTTTTAAATAAGGCCCGGACTCACGTGAGTCCAGTCTCACGCAAAACGCTTTGTATTTTGATGGGAATTCAACCCTTTTATTTCCAATCTCATTCCCGCCTCACAAGTCACAACCTCATTCCCATCAAACAAACATGGAATTTTATGATAAATGGGATTAAATTCTCATTACCATCTTCTATTCCCACTAACTAAACACCCCCAAAAGGTAATTCTTCAATGAATTTTCCCTATAAAAAATTATAGAAAAATTAAAATTTAAAAAAAAAAAAAAAAAAAAAAAACTTGGGGTGGGATACAAAGAGGAGAGAGAAGGAAATGAATTGAGCAACTGAACAAGAAAATTTTATGTTGACCGGCTGACCCTATAATAGTTATTATTGCATCAATTAAAGTTAGTGGGCTGCCAATAAAAACCCTACAATGACCCTATAACATAAAGTCCAATAATAACCATGTCCATTCAAAAGTTAAAGGATCAAGACCCTTTAATATGTGACCTGCCCCTTTGTCATTGGACTACCCTGTCCAATAATCACCTCTATATACTAGTATGTTTCTGTTTATGTATATACTTATATTAGTATGTTTGTCGAGTATACTGTACCAACCATTAATACTAGTACAGTATTTTTCTTTTTCATGTAGACTTGTAGTCTAAAGACTAAAGAGAGTTACAAGTTTTAAAAGGAGGGAGTCGAGTTTAGGCAAAATACGGTCCTCATAATTTAGTACGGAGTAGTATATTTGTAGCAATTGTTCAATTATATTTAAATTTTTTTGAAAATGATACTATATTATTTTTATAAAACCGCCAATATATTTCACTTTATTTTGTTATAATTTTTAATATACAAAATGATCCGAGGCATCGCCCGGGCCAAAAACTAGTTGTATTTTATTCAACATCCCTACCTTATAAAAAGTGGAAAAAAACTCTTATGAATAGTGTTAGGACATATATACCCCTTAAAATGTTAATTTACCAATATAGCCATAGTCATTAATGTTAATTAGTATCTGTTAGTCTCTATGTGTCTTCCCTCGGTGTGAATGTTAATTAGTACTTCCTCCGTTCTATTAATATTGCAACAAGGAGAAAATTACGCATCCCAAATCACATTTTATATACTAAATATCTATAATTGTGTAAGAGTAAAAATCATAAAAAAAGTTGATATTGTGAAAGTATTTTATGAGACGAATCCAACAAGATCCCACATGACTATATTTAGCTTAACGTATAAATCATATTATATGGTCAAACAAGAGTGATGAATAGTGGAAAAAATCCATTGTTACAATATTAATAGAACGGATGAGGTATATGTTAGTCTCTATGTGTTGTGCTTTTCGACTTTTCGACCTTTCCTCTTTTCTCCTCCTAAGCGTTTCTTCCTCTCCTTCCTCCTCTCTTTAAACAAATTATTAGCTCTCCAATAAATCACCTAGCTGGCTTTTTCTCCTCCATTGAAGCAGTTTTTGAGGTGAGGTAATTAAATGATTGAATATCAATTGGACAATTTGGGTATATCGTTAATTTTTTGACTAAATTATTGAATATCAATTTTACAATTTGGGTAATATCATTATTTTAAATTGTCACATGATTTGATATATGTATGTGTCAATGTGTGTGTTTTTGTTTGAAGATTGATTGAGTGACTTAACAATTTAAGATGAATAGGCATGGCTTCAACGTAGTCGTGGTTTGATTATTTACTCCATTAGCTTAAATTTTTATTTGATTATCATGGTTATTTTAACAAACCAAAATACACAATTCATTCTACGAAAGAGCTGTGGGCATATAGAAATATTGCAAGAGCGTCAACATTCCCTTTTTATTGGCAAGGTTATTGTATGTGGTTGGTGGCTTTATGCAATTCTCAATAGCCACGACCAGCGAGCAATCAAGATGGATTTACCATGGGCTCATGTTACTTGCTTGTAAGTCATCTTTTCCCCAACCTTGTGAATATTGCTCTGATTTCCCGTTCTATATCTTGCGAGCTAGGTCTATGGTTGTTACGAGACACAATACATTAACGAGCTCCCCAAATAAGTCTTATATAAACTATGACAAGGCTCACCTTTTTAACTCCATTCTTCAATTGAAATCATGAAACCTTATAATTTGTCAGTATATATGTTTTTAAGCTAATTATATGTTGTATAGGAAAAATTTAATCTATGACTTCATTTAATCTATGATTTGGTGAATTTGTTGTCTTGTTGAGTTTTTTGGGTGTGATTTGTGTTAGTAAGATCTACATGGGTATTTTTATATGGGTTTAATTTTGCAATTGTAATTGATTTAGATTTGATTGTTTTAATGGTTTGTGATTATATTGTCTACAAGTGACCTTTTTATTCGTTCATTTTTTTTTTTTATTTCTATGCTCTACTCTGCTTGTTTTATAGAGGATTTCTCATCTGGTCTTTATGGTCTCAACTCTCAATAGGTTGTAGAAGGAAGAGGATTTTCACTTAACTACTTGAGTATGCTCATTTAATTACCCTTTATTTATGTAATTGAAAGTCTAAGTGTTTATGATTTTGTTTAATTTGAGTTAAATGTCCCAAATTTACATGTCTACTAATATAATGGTGGCAGACTGACGGTTGATTTTCTTGTTTTAAATTGTTTTAATATTTATAATGATTTTTGCTTCATGGCAGGATACAATCATCAATCATGGCCATAGTCTCTGTAATGTTAGAAAATACTTCGTAGAATACCAAATACCCAACTTGAAGCACTTTCTTCACTTTTCTGCATGGCTTGATGCATTCAAGTAGCATAGTAGACAAACACGTTGTGTACTCTATGTCAAGCTTTCTTGATTTATTATACTTGTATATTTTCTCATATGCTGGAGAGTCGAGATTGCTAGATATATTAATAATATTATTTACTCATATATGATGCAATTTCTACCATTGACCTTCTTTTCTATATACATTTTTTTTTCTTAAGGATCACTACACTGAAGTTTAATAGTTTAAATGTCCTTAAGATTCCATATATCATTTCATGTTCGTAACTGTGTACAATGTACAAGACTACAAACTACCAAAATAATTTATACATGTAACTAAATCAAACACATACCTAAGGTGTAAAGAAAAGTCAATATAATTTTTAGACATTGTCTAGCCATACCACGCGCATCACGCGCGTTGGCTCCCCTAATTAAATATAAAATTACCTTTGTATTTTGAATCTTTCAATCGAGTTAATTCGAATATTTATTGACACTATGCACTTTTTATATCATTATCAGTCCACTATCTTAAATTCTTAACAAATTAGTTCAGATCCTTATTAGTCAAATTTCGCTGACTTGTACATTTTTTTCCTATTTTCTCCATGCCTTTGTATGATTATCAAATCCCCTAAACCTTTAGACAGTCTATTTATAACTTGGATTATTATGAGATTTTTTAATTTAATTTTTCCTTCCCTTTTATCGATCCTGGAATCTCCTGCAAATCGGGAGAAAAGCTCTAACCACTTGAGCTATCCCTTTCTCCCTCTTACTTTTTCTAATATTCAATACAATTAACTATCATTTTCTATTACCTTCTACTGTTATCCTCAAATCCCTTCTATAAAAATCTAAACAAAATTTGTACAAAAATCTGTTTTTTCATGATAATTCTAGACAGTAATAATGTTCAGGCTTCAAAGCCTCAAAAAATATATGATCAGTGTTTAATGAGAATCAAGTCAAAAGAAGCTGGTTTTTGATTCGTTGAAGATCAACTGTTTACATCAAAGTTGTTCAGACATTTAGGCATGACTGCATCATTTCTTTGGCCCCTGAACAAAGCAAAGACTTGATTTAAGGTTTCCTGCAGCAAAAGAGAACCAAACAATGCTAACCTCCATATTAGAACTCAAGCACATATATATGAAGCGGAAGAGCAGAGCGTTTTGCATCATGAACACAATGATGGTTAGCATAACAACCCACATAATCACAACATATGAATTTGAACACATTATTTAATTTCATTTCAAAATCCAGGGATATTTTACAAAGGTTTGTTGTGAGCAGACGGAAATCATGCTAGAGAACTCAAACAAGTTACTAGAGTTTCCAGGGTAACAAGTTATGGACCGTATGGTAGGTCTAGGAGATGCATTTGCCTCCTAATTAAACGGATGATATCAAGATAAGAAAAGAACTCTTTCTTCCTGAATGAGCAAAATATATGAAAATTATTATTATTAACTGATAAATATACTAACTTAAGATAGAAGCAGTCAGTCTTGAGGCAGCATCAGCCTTTTTTCCTTAACCAAGGCAAGGGAAGCTGTAAGAGCCTTTCACAAATCACACATCATTTGCTTCAAACAATTAACAAAATTAGGTTGTCGCTTTTTCCCATTCTCACTGCAAGAGTAGTTCTTCCTTGTACTATATTGCACTTGTATCAGTTGTATGAAGATCCATGTACTTAAATGTTGACAAAACTGTCCATGATACACGGGTGTCAATATAAACCCTTTAGCTAGTGCTACAGATTTAAAGTGCCACCAGGATTCTCTTTACCTCGGCTACAAGAATAATACTTCTGGAAGAAAAATGCTAACGCCTTCTCTGCTCTAACTCATGGATTTAAGAACCTCTCCCAAAACCAATCCCCACTGAGTCCAGTGAGTACCACCCTGCATCAAATTCAGGCATCCCAATTTAATTTAACATGACTTCAAACACCCCATATGAATAGAGAACTGCATAATTTTGTTCACTGTTGCAATAAGAAAAACAAGCGATGTGAGATGGATCCAAAAGTTGGATTATAAGTAAAGACCTGACAGAATACGGCAAACGGCTCCCTCAGTGGTCCATCACATGACAGCTCACTGGTACTACCATCAATGAAGGTTCCATCAGCAAAGATCACCTGAATCATCATAGACCTTATAATCAATTCATTTCTGAAGCAAGCGATTCCATTTTATTTTATTTTATTTATATTTTTCTAAAAAGAATTAGTGGCAATTAGCAAGCATTTCCGGTTAATCAGATGAGAATAAGAGATAGTTCAAACACAAAATCAAATGAGCGCCTAGTCGGTTCTTGATCTTGTAGGAAAGAACATGCATAATTCAATAACTTGAGACAATAATTCATTTGACTCTCACCCTCATTTTCATGTTACGGGAGACGAGGAAGCCTTGGAGAGTCAGAGCTCAGAGAGGGACAGTCACATTTTGAAATGGTAAAATTGGATGTATTTCCTAGACACTAACTACAATAATACCCTATATGGCAGATTTCAGGGTCAGGAAATAACTGCACTTCTTGTAGGTGTAGATGCACACAACATTACCAGTAGATAAACTAGTCAGAAGCTCAGAACAAAAGGTCCTTTTTAGGGAAAAACAAAATTAACAAAAATTTGTGAAGGTGAAACAAGTAAGAGGATATTTCCAAATTCCAAAAGTAAAAGTAAAACTTTATCTAGTTCCTACAGATTGTGGTAGCAAGAACGCTAAGATGTAATACAACAAACAAGTGAGCCACAATAACTACATCATCAAAAAAATGACAGATACCCTCCCTATGAGATGCTGAAAGTCTACTCATAAATCATAATAGCTGAACCTCCTTGCCTAGCATTGTCTCACCTTTTTTTTTGCCAGGTGATAAAATGCAGGAGTGTAACGATGTTAAGAATCAACTTAGTAGCTGAAAGAAATAAGGAATGGCATATGGAGATTAATGGAAAAAGATGAAGCGTAAACTACCAATATCTAGAAAATACAACAATAATAGAAGATATTTCCAACTCTTTCAAGCAATGGAGAGGTCTTTTCTCAACAAAAGTGTAAAACAATCAACAGAAAACTCTCCTTAATACTCCAAATGCTTTCCTCTCTCTAATATTCTCTACATATAAAGTTTTTACCCTGATTTAATAACTATCTTATTCCTTAATAAAAATTGTATGATTATGCTACAAGCCTACTACCTAAAGTGCCCCTCCTCTTAGATTGATTCTTAGCAACACACTAGGCCACGTTGAAACATACAAAGCAATATAAACTTATTCTAATGAATGTAACAAGCAGACATAAAATTCAAAACAATCATCTTGATTAAAGACCAAGCTTGAGCTCATGTTAGTCTGAATTGAGGAAGGAAAGCATAGAAATGTTCAATACATATTCTGTATTAACCTGCTATGAGATATGCAATATATAAAAGTTGTACCAAACCATTAGAATTTGATCATCTTGTTATAAAACCCCATACAACACCCCAACGGTCTCCAGAGAAAGACAGAGAGAGAGAATTCAATGATTCACTAAGAACTAGAAGATCTCTCTGTGTGTGTGTGTGTGTGTGTGTGTGTGAGCATTCACTGAGCTGATTCACAAAGAACAAAAAAATCAGACTTTAAATATATAAAACAATTCAATCAAATCTAGCACTTGCGAAACGGCTTTTTATCCAAACAAATTACGCATCACACAAATTATGATTAAAACTTAGCTTCGTAATATTATTAGTTGGATTGTTCCCAGGAATTTTTCAGCAAGCAAGCCATCATGAAATGGCTTTTTGTCCAAACAAATTACGCATCACGCACAATGTAATAATAAAAGGGTATAGTTAACCACACCTCTGACGCATATCCAGCAGTTGCTCCAGGCACTGGTTTTGTAAACGAGCTAACAAGGGAGCTTCTCTGCACCGCCTCACAAAAAGCAATAAGGCGTTCTCGATTCCCTAGCTCGACAGCCTGAATTAATATGACTAATATAATCAGATTTCATCCTTTTACTTCAAAAAAAAAGTGTGAAATAATATCAACTATTATCTCAGAAAAATAAGTGTTTTGTAGCTGCTCTAGCCTCTATGGTGCAAAATCACAGAAAAACACTACCTTGAGATTCCTTTTACGTAAAAAATAACTACCCACAGAAATACCTTCACAGAAAAGACACTCAATTGGCTTCAAGTAAGTCGCAAATAGTTGAACTAGCTAGCTAATTATGTAGGCAACAAAAAATACCATCTCACAAGGACATTAAGGCAAAAGTCTAGAACTAAAGCAGCAGAGCCTAGTAGGCAACTGTCATAATGATGCCGATAATGATCCAGACTACAACATAATAAAGAAGAAATTTTGTCCAGCATAACACAGGTGAAACATCACAGTAACGTCAACTTATATACACCAATGTTGGTATAGTCTAATAGATTTTCCAATTAGATTCATCATCTTGTCAAAGAAATGCCACATATATATTGCTACAGACAAAATAATAAAGAAGTAAATTTACCAGCACAACATGATTTAAACATCACAGTAAAGATAATTTATTACAAAATGTATAAACAGCATCCATTATCCAACTAATAATATTATGAAGCTAAGTTTTAATTGACCTGCACTGTGTCATTCCTTGGAACTCGGGGACGTGGCTGAACTTTGAACCCTTTCAAAGACATAACCTCAGCAATTAATAATGAACCCTGTTCAAAAAATATAATTACAGAATTGTTCCAGGGATGTAGTTACTGAATAAACTAAGAAGATAATTATCAGACTTCTAATCAATCAATCAAAGCCTTAATCCCAAAAGTGGGGTCGAGTCTAGCATACAATACCTTGATGGCTTCCCCAACCATCTGAGGTGCAAGGTACAATCCCTGATAGAAAGTCCGCATGATATCACCAGGAGTTGAGCCACAATCAATTCCAAGTCCTGGAGCAGACAAGCGAGCCGCTGCTGCTTTCACCCACTTTTCTTTCCCAGCAACATAACCTCCACATGGTGAAATAGTCCCTCCTGGATTTTTTATCAAACTTCCAGCAATTAAATCTGCACCCTGTCAATAACTAATTAGTTCTTGTTCCTTCTCCAGTGCACTAATATTACAAATAAAGTTAGAAACATACCACCATTGGGGGTTCAATTGCATTCACAAATTCACCATAGCAGTTATCCACCATGACCAAACAGTTTGGATTCTGCACCTGCATGTTTTATCAACTTTAGCAGATGGGATTTTTAAATAAACTTCTTTGCAGAGAGATATATCAAGTACAAACTATAAACACAAGATATAAGATAATAAAATACTCATCTAAGATCAGTTAACAGAAGAAATGTTCAGAAAATTTAGAGAGAGAAGATTTAGGAAAAGCTTCATAAACAAACAATCAAAGACATGGTACTTGAAATATTCATCTTTATTTTAAAATTAGGCCAACTTTAGAGCATCAAGGTTACAATTACTGGAGTATAAAGTAAGATTATATTGAATTTTTTACAGCACGATAACTACGATCCTTTATCATTTTACAATTACTTGTAGTCCAACTTTTAATAAAACTAGCTGAGGATAAGGAAGTAGTTTAATAATATTAGTGCCTCAGAATTACCTTTATCATTTTTATTGCTCTCCCTATCTCATTGACACTTAAACTGCAACGCCATGAATAACCACATGATCTTTGTATGAGTGCACACCTTGTTTGAGGAGTGACAGCACTTATCAATCCATCCCAGTCAAGTCCACCATCCTCAGCAAGCTGAAATAGCATCTAAGCCATAAGTGTTCTGCAGCTTGTCACCTGAATGCTTCAATTCCCATTATTGGGAGGAGAAAATATGATAAAACTAAACTAAAGAAAAGAGCAAAGAAATGCAAAGACAGATTACTGCAAGTTCTCGATATTTGATTCCAAAATCTTTTAGAGATCCAATCCCATCACAGTCACGCTTTCCAATGACTTCCTCCAAAGTGTCGTATGGAGCACCAGCAACTGCCAGAAGCTGGAAAACTAATAAGTCTACAAGACACAGTTCTAGAAAAGAAATAGCTAAAACCTTAGAGAAAACAAAGTAAAGATCTCAATAATCTAGTGCAGGTAGAGCAGTTAGGTAACAAATGTCCAAGTAGAAGTATACCGGAAAAATAACTAACCTCGTCACCTGGCCTCAACATAGCAAACAAGGCACAAGTAATAGCATGGGTGCCTGAAAAAAACTGAAGTGAACAATGAGACATAGCAATAGGAACAAAAAGCAAAGACTGCAGAGAGAAAACGGGGGAACAAATTACATGTGAACGGACAATAGCAGACTCAGCACCAAATATATCGGCAAATGCTTGGTCTAAACCCTCACGTCCTCCAGCTTCGTCATGGCCATAACCAGTGCATCCAGCAAAAAACTACACAAAGTGGATCAGAGATCTCTGTTGAGGAATCTTGAGATCATTGATACGTATTATCTTATAAGAAAAAGAAAACTGCATATTTAACACTGCAAAATTAAATGGCAGGGCAACAAAGGAGGCACATAGTTGGACTAATGGAAAAAATCAACACAGATCAATAACTTCATAGCAATATAACATAAATCCTTCCTGACAACATCAAATGTCATTCCTGCCTCAGTTACCCAAGAAAGAAAAAAATATGAAATATTTTTGCTTGGTAGCCTTGTAGCTGTAAACATAAAAATTTATCCAAAAGTTAAAATGAATAATTTTAATGCCTACCTCTGAACTAATCCTAAATTTGGAACAATAGTCGAATTCGTTCATACTTCACCTTTGTCTTTTGACAAGATAGTGAGACCTGTACAATTATATTGACTGATAACATTTCAGGTGCAATCAGACAGATGCAAAGATCCAAGTGCATGCCCAATAAGGTAGACTTACTTTGCCAACATGCTGTCTAGAGGACTCTAGACAATACATACCTAACAAGCTCAATTACCTCCATCTAAGTATCTAACAAAGAAGCCTTTAAACACTATCCTATACAGTATATAGAGTTTCCAGATCCACTCACATGAGATCCAACTCGAGCATTCTGAAAGGCCTTTAGAACACGTGAAGTATTGTGTGCTACCAAATTGTCGATGTCCCTGAACTCTGAGTGTAATGAAGCCACTGCATAATCAACCTGGATTATTGACATCAAAAGAGGATTAAACGTCATTATTACTAGTCACAAAAGAAAAAAGAAAAAAAAAAAGGGATTTGCATAAGCCTTTACATAGGGTTGTAACTGAGCTGACCCCAGTATCCATCGGGACAGACAGGGCTCGAATAACAGCTTCTGCCTTGTCCATGGACATGTTCATTTAGGCAAGCTCAAGCACATGCCCACGCTTTTAACCGAGCTTATAATCTGTTCTCGGCTTGTTGGTAAGGTTCTAGTGTTTGTGAACTACTTGTTTATTAATCATGCTGAATTCATAAACATGTTTCCATTAATACACGAGCTTTTCTCATAAACAGGTTTTCAGATGGAATATAAAGATTTGTGCTTTCAACATTTGAAGATCTCAATATATAGACAAATAATTTAAGTTAAAATCATAGAATAATGTTCGATGATTAGTTATAATCAAGGCAACAAGTGAACTTTTACTTAAGGGTTTTATAGTGATTATGAATGAACTTGTTCATGACCACAGATAAATTAGTTTCACAAACTTAATTAAACAAGTTGTTCATGAACTAATTTGAAAGAGTGTAACTTTGTTTGTGTTCAAGCTCATTAATTGAACAAGCTCTTAAACTTATTCAAGCTCAGCTCATCTATTTAATAATGAGCATTTATAAACTTTTTATAACTTAAATTACAGCAAGGATTGAGATACAAATATTATTCAGTTATGTATAAACACTGAAGCAGGAAATAGAAACAGTTAAACTACAGGACTTAGGATGACAACCCACTTTATGCTTCACATATAATGGTCAGCTAGTTTTATTAAAACCTTTGTCATGGACAACTTTTGAAGTTTTAATAAAAATTACCACACCTTTGTCATGGTTTTAATAAACCTTTGTCAGCAAACTAAGCCCTGATGCAAAACTTTGTCATGGTTATTAAAACCTTTGTCATGGTTTTAATAAACCTTTGTCAGCAAACTAAGCCCTGATGCAAAACTTTGTCATGGTTATTAAAACCTTTGTCATGGTTTTAATAAACCTTTGTCAGCAAACTAAGCCCTGACGCAAAACTTTCTCATGGTTATTAAAACCGTTGTTGTTAATAATAGTAGGTGTATGTCATGGAAAGGTTTTAATGAGGTTTATTAAACTTATGGTTTTATTAACAGTTTAACACACTTAATAAAACTTCACTATAAAGTTACCACACCTTTGTCATGGATAATTCTTAAAATTAGGGAAATGATAACTAGTAACAAAATTATATACTAGTATTAACAAACTCAAAAAACAAAACTAGAACAAATGCCAACATTTAGATCCAAAGGCTAGAGTGTTAAGGTAAAAAAAAAAAAAGAGACAAATCCCCTAAGGGGTGTTCGGTTCACATAATTTGGGAATGAAGTATGGATTTAGAATCGATAAAAACCTATATCTAAAACCCACAGGGTATAGAGTTTCAAAACCCAAGAGGGGAGGTGAGTATGGCTTATACCATACTTTCAGGTATCAAACAAAAGACAAATGTTCATTCTCGAACAAAACCAAACACATGGTATTAAGAATCACGTTTCAAACCCATACCATCCTAGTTTGATTCCCAATTCCAAACCCATACTGTTTTGCGAACTAAACACCCCCTAAAGTTGTAGCTAAATCCTTCCTAGGGCCATACAATTTAACATTTTATTGAAACAAAGTCCAAGCAAGGCAAAGTCCCAAGTTTAGTCATTCGAATTCCTACCTTGTATAAAAGAGTGGGTACAATATATGTCTGTGTACCAAACTTCCCAAAAACATCCCCCATTTTCCTTAACTCTTCCAAATGTCCCAGTTATTAGCGGACATACATTCTCAACTTCTCAAGTCATAACCGTTATAAACTCGACATCCCTCCCACATAAAAATGCCAAGTTAAATCCGACATGATACTAAATTCCTGATTTCAAGACTGCAAATAAAACCATTGAAAAATGCTAAACACCAATTTGGGGTACTTGGTTACTTGAGTCAATCCATTCATTCCATTGAAATCACATAAACTCATAAATTCAGCAAAGTTTAATTTCTTCACCATATTATACAATAACAAATAACAAATAACAAATAACAAATAACAAAATGCAACAATAATAAATTATTTCCTTACTTGAAGCTTCATCAATAGTACAAAAACTACACATATAGTACCAAAATTTGTTTAATTCATCCAAAACCCAAAATAATTATTGCATTTTCTGGGCAAACTAGATAAATTTGAACCCTTTGAAAAAAAATTGCATGAGTTCATCAGAAAGAAACAAAGGTGGGGAATTGTGAGACATACCTCGGGAACAAATGGGCTGTTAAGATGATAACGAGGAGTAACAGCGGAGGAGAGAGAAAATTCTGAAGAATTTGAGGTTATGGCTTTATTGGGTCTGTAGAATTTCAGGGGATAAGAAAATGGTGCACCTGACAAACCCAACATCATCATCTCTCAACAAAGGATTTGCTCTTGTTGTAATGTTGTCAAGGCCAAAGAGGAGGAGTGAGTTAAACAACTTACGACATATAGAGTACGAAGTACTTCGTAGTATCTTATAATATTTATTTTTTTTAGTTCAGTTCAGTTTAGTTTAATTCAGTTTTAATTTTTTTATTTGAGACAAAATTCAGTTTTTAATTTTCTTCTATCATATACTCCTAATATTTATTTCAATTTAGTTTTACTTTATCTTATTTTTGTTGAAGTGAAATTATTTTTACTAAACTAGAATTACTTTTGTTGAAGTTAAATTATTTTTACTTAGCTAAAATCATTTTTACTAAACTGAAATTATTTTTGTCGCATTTAAATTATTTTTACTGATTTTGAATTATTTTTTTTTAATTGAAGTGAAATCACGGGTCTGTTCTCTTACGTTGAAATTCAATTCAGTTCAGTTCAGTTCAGTTCAGTTCAGTTCAGTTCATTTCAGCTCAGTTCAGCTGAGTTCAGTCAATGAGAACATGCCCTACTTCTATTGATTTTCTATTATATTTCTTCTTTATAATTACTGAATTTTACTTAGCTGAACTTATTTTTACTGAACTAAAATTACTTTTTACTGAACTCAGTTTATTTTTACTGAATTGAAATTATTTTTACTTAATATAATTTTTTTAAGGTAAAGGAACAAGGTCTAACTTTGTATTTTTTTTTCTAGGAAACTTACTCTTTACTTTGTACTAAGTGAATTTGGTTGAAAGAAATTGATGAAAGAGAAAAATGTGGAGGTTAAGGGCCTGTTCTCATTGACTGAACTCAGCTGAACTAAACTGAACTGAATTGAATTGAGCTGACTGAACTGAACTGAACTGAACTGAAATGAATATTTTATAAGAGAAGGAAATTAGGAGCTGAACTGAACTGAACTGAGCTGAACTGAACTTAATTGAAATGAACTGAATTTCAACGTAAGAGAACATGCCCTAAATGTGATATTTTTTAGAATAAGTTGTTAAATGAGGTAACCTTAAAAGATGATATTAAAAGAAGAATGGGGTAATTACTAAGGGATAAAGGGTGAACATTTTTAATTTGTCAATGATTTGAATTTTGCCACAAGGCATATTTGTCTCAATTTCATAGAGAGTTACTATAATTTATAACTTTATACTCGGTATTTGAATTATTGGACACTTATTGACGTTTATTGAACCAATGGATAATTTTTTGTTATTTTTATAGTGGTAAGAAGAAAAAAAAAATACATTTGGAAACCAATGGATAAGAGGAGATGACTTTATGAAGAGTTGTGATGCTAGCTTGCCTAATTGATTTCATGCTTGGCCAAGCTAGATTTGGAGGATTTGCACAAATGTTTTTGTGTTAATATGCTTGCACAAATACTTGTTGTTTAGCAGGAGTCTTAATTAAGATGTCTTATTAGCGCATATTAGTGAGGATTTATATGTATTTAAAGAAGTCTATATAATTAATTTAGGGCATGTTCACATTTACTGAACTGAGTTGAACTAAAATGATTGGAGCTAAACTGAACTGAACTGATTTGTAGCTGAACTGAATTGAATATGGCTGAAATGAATATTTTATGAGAAAAGGACATTAGGAGTTGAACTAAATTGAACTGAACTGATGTGGAGCTGAATTGAACTGGACTGAATATAATTGAAATGAATATTTTATGAGAAAATGACATTAAGAGCTGAACTGAATTGAACTGTACTGATTTGAGCTAAATTGAATTGAACTGAACTGAACTGAACTGAACTGATTTGAGCTAAATTGAACTATACTGAAATTAAGTTAAAGTGAACAAACCCTTAACCAATTGGTTTATGTAAGTTCGACTCGGACTTATCCTAAAACTAGAGGTCATTAATTTTTGTTAAACGAGTGACCCATCTACCGGTATATAAATCAACTTGAAATGAAAATTGAACATGCCATGTTCTAATTCTGTTCTCACCTACTTCTATATAATAGACATTCATCATTATTTCATTATTGACTTTCTCTTAGACTACATACTTCTAAACAATTGTAAATTGTGGACAATAATAAAGATAAGAACACCTAACTACTGTATCTATTATTGAATTCCATTATTTTTTGTGCTGTAAAGTTTGAGCTGAATAATACTTGAAGAATTATGCTGCAGTAATCATCTACTACTACATACAACTTTTGTATAATAATATTGATATTGATTCTTGCATTACAATATCGCATGTTCTACATCGAAAAGGAAATAAATAAACGTGTAATCTTGATTGTGTTGCTATCTGTACATATATACAAGTATAGGATGTGATAAAACAAAAAAATTTACAAAGTTACTGGGTGTATAAGCTAAACAAAATCTATAAAAGAATGGAAAGAATAAAGGAATAACCTTGCACTGAAGTGCACCAAAGATTGCGCTTTTAGGGTGTAAGACTGATTCTGTTAGTATGAATATCATCCGGTTATACTTGCTGTAACATTTGCCTTGGCTTAGCTCTCTTCGAGCGATTATTCCATGTCCCATTCCTAAGAGTTGACAAGTATACGTGATGAGGAAACGAATTAAGTGTGAGTTTTCAAGAAGAGGAATGACTGTTTGAAGAAGTATTGCACATGCACTCTGGGATAGGATACTTGGTAACATCTCTTCCTGGCTTGTCTGTCCTTAAATCTGGCTGCTCTAAAGAGTCGTGGTGGAGTTCCTTCACGATTTTGTTAAACTCGGTTTCAGGCAGAGAAGAATTCATGAAGTAGGGCAGCATGTGTCTCTTATTGGGAGTTATATGCTTCTTGTGTCCTGCATAAGCCCTCTGTCCCTGTATAAAAAAAAAAAATCCGAATAGTCAGAAACTGATCCAAGCCACAGATTGCCGTTTATGATTGCATTTCGGTTTAGCAAGAGTTTCTCATCTTCTGAACCTTTTGTTTATGTTTGATTGTAACATTATCAAATGCCCAAAAAGAAATTGTTACATTTCTTAAGATGAAAAGTGAAGGTATACAACAATTAGGCAAGTCTTCTGTTAAGACTGTTACATTTCCTAAGGTGGAAATAGATTAATTATGTACAATATTAAGATTTCCATAGACATCAAGGTCATCTACAGTGAAATGGAGTGGTATAGACAAAATGCCAAGGAGACATCTATCATGTGACAATAAATTCCGAAGTGTTCATGTCAATTCCATATTATAAAATAAAAAATTAAAAAAAAAAAAAAAAAAAAACTGAAATTTGTTGATGAAGGTACCTGGAGAGCATGTCCCATGTTTCCACCATGAGATGCCATGAACACATCACTCTTCTCACAGACTATATAGTCGATGGCAGCCATGAACGAGGCTCTGTTTGCAAACGGTTCCAGTTCACCAGGCAGTGCAAGATCTTCTTTGTTGTAAAAGTAAGGGAATTCTTTAATGAGAGGAAGCAAGGCATCTTGGCCACCAAGTGGTTGTCCTCCAGCCCAGTATATTCTAGCACTTTTTGGAGCACCAAGAGCTTTGAGCAATCTGAAAGCATAATAATAGAATTAAGCGTAAGAGACAAAACATCCATGCCAAAAACGGATCTAAGTACAAAGTAATGTCAAATAATTCCTTACCGAGCAACCTCAAAGGCATTTAAGGGGCAAAGTCCTGCAAGCTTTCTGTCATGGGAGGTCATGTTGGACTTGCCAGTAAGAAGCTTAGGGCGACGCTTTCTCTCATTGTTTATCATGTCATCGTACTCTGGGCTCAAGCCAGGTGAACATCCAGTTCTTATCCACACATCCTTTTCCATTCGCAGATGAAGAGCAACATAAGGGCCTTTACTGCTCATCCTCTCAGCAATTTTGTTACCAAATTGTATAATGTGAGGAGCAAACTTGAGTGCCTGAAATGCAACCTTTGCAAGCAAAAGAAATTTGGTAAGAAAAAAATTCACTGCAAGTAATACAGTAACAGATTATCATGGTAAGACATATATGATACCTTACAACGGAGCTTCTGAAGATCAGATGGGAGATCCTTAGAGAGCCTGGAGTCCAGACCACGCAGCAACAAAACGTTATACTTTTTCAGCTGCAAGGAAAACAAACAGAATAACACCTACTATTAGATACAAGACTTTCTTGGAAATAATGATTCACGTGACTCATCTGATGCAAATTACAAATTACTAAAACTTCGATGTATGCCAGGCTGCCAGTAGAAAATTTGTTGTAGCTACTAGTCTACTACTGGCTACTAGTATCACTGAGACAATGATTTTTAGCTCACAAACTACTAAAGGCTCCAGATGATTGCTGCAACTTAGTTTAGCATTGGAAGAGCTATAATAACTAATCAAACCAGGCAAATGTGATTGAATTTTCTGTCAATTTCATTACAATTTTAATTTGATCTTATTGATGTTAATAGAGCAGTAGCTAAATGTCTAGGCATCCATTTCTATTTTATTTTTTTGACGGGATGCAAACTCATATTATTATGGAGCTAAAGACTCCAATCTGCCAAAACAGTACTACAAATTTCTTGAGGATACTCCTCAAGCCACACTAGTCTCATGTCTCATTGGAACTACTACTTAGTTGAGCTAAGTCATGAGCAACTATATTTCCACCCTTTTTAACAGAAGAAAAAGAAACATGATTACAAGAGTTAGCTAGAAGGATAATGTCCCTAACGGCCTAACCACATGACCAAAGGGAGTAGGCAAAACAAGACCTTTCTTCAAATGGTGGAAAAGCTTCAAATTGTCAGTCTCCAAGACAAACCTGCGAAAGCCAGCTTCGATGGCAATAGACAACACAAAACGCAAAGCTGACGCTTCCCCTACATCTACAGGAAGCCTACCATGAATTTTCAATCACACCGAAACAACTATATCACCCGTTGAGTCCCTCACGATCCCTCCAACTCCAGAAATTGAGCCACTGATAGAAGCAAAATCGGAGTGGATTTTCAGCAAGCCAATTTCAGCAAGCCTGGTACTGGGGCTTCGCAGGTAGTCTTATGCTTTGTTTGCTCACCACACAAGTACTGCTCGCTTCCATAACTAAAGCATACTCCCTGATAAGGTCAATGGCCTTGTGAATAACCTCTTCCACTCCCCTTTTCTGATTCTCAAAAACCCATCTATTTCGCCTTACCCCGCGCAATAACCCAAAATAAGTCACCCCATTCCTTCACTTTGAGCAAACTCATCAGAGATGAGCACCACTCACTCACATCTAAATTAACAGAATTTGTAATATCGAGTCGAAGGGGGGAAAGATACCATATTTAAATTCCTTACAATGCTAAAATTTCAACCTTATCCAAGCAGCACAAATAATCTCATTCAAAACTACTAATTATACATTCAAGTGTTGAAACATACTCGTGTATAGTACAAAAACATGTCACATGTAAAAGCCGCGTACTCGAGTAATGCTTAAATAGTTAAATTCATATACAATAACATCAACTAAAAGAATTCCAATTGAAATTTGCTGAGTATCAATAAGTAATATTACTATATTAGTAATGTTACCTTTCCAAGGTAGTGATGGCGGATCCAATGAGGAGTGGCATGAAAGGGAGTTTGACTCTCTTCAACTGGTTTAATCCTCAACAACGTTGATGGTAGAGACGAAACTATCTTTACATCATCAGCAAGCACCCTTTTGAAGTGTTCCAAATCGAAAATATCCGAAAACTCACTGAACAATCATCAAACAAACCAACAAACATTGATAAAAACAACTGCAACCCTAAAATAATAAACCCCAGAAAACACGACACAATACAATACGAGCAACGAGTACAAAACAAATTACCTTTCATCTCCCCATATAACATTTACTTGAAAAACAGGAACAACAAGAGCAGCTCCAAGAATTCTAGCAATAACAACAGCATCAACAATCTGATTCCTCTGCTGATTCATCCCACCACTAACAACCACCATCAAATAATTAGTCCTATCCTTGGCTATCTCCTCACTCGTCTGTCTATACTCTTGGCTGAACTCCAAACACGGCCGATACCCGAGTCCGAACCCATTCGTCTGATTCCAGAAATCTTCACTCGAATCGACCATATTTGGCAATATTGTCATTTTACTTTTAAACTCTACAACTTCCTCGTCTCGCAACTGATGCTGGTTACACGCATTCGGGAGATTGAGGAAGTAAAGCGTAACCATACCCAGAAACCCCAACAAGACGATAGTAAAAATCAGCAAAAACATTGGGTTTTTTACCCATTTCTTTGGCTTATTTGAACATCTTTTAATCTGGGGTTGATGATGGGTTACAAGAAGAGATTGTAAAGAAGAAGAAGAGAGAGAATTTATGATTTCAGAAGAAACAGCAATGTAAGATTGTTGTTGTTGTAGCTTCTTGTTGTTCTTCACCATTTTTCTTTGTTTCTTTCTTTGTTCAAACTTAACTCTACAATATACTACTACCCTTTACTTCACTTTTTCTAATTTTCTTCCTTTCTTAAGAAGATGTTGAGTTTGCTTGTAATGTAAAACACAAAAAGTAGAATGGAAAGAATTTCAGTTGAACAAACAAATTGAGAAATATTATTATGGTAATAATTTTGTAATACTGTAATATCCAAGCTGGAAACAGAGATGAAAGAGAGAAGAATACAAAAAAAAAAAAAAAAAGGGAAAGCTGGCGGCGGGAACACAGAGAAGATGGATAGAGCAAGTTATACGCGTCCCTAGGGAAGAAAAGTGGACTGATATAACATATGGTATAGTCTGATATAATGGTATGGCCTAATAACTGGGGGGAAAAGTGGGGTGTTGTCCCCATCATTTTGTGTCTTTCATTTTAAGTTTCGCTTTTTTCTTGTCTATATTATAATATTACAACCAATGAACCAATGCATTATTGAGGGTGAGTTTTGATTGATGATTATTATGTTATTATTATTTGTTTGCTTAGAGTAGTCTATTAAAGTGTTCCTTTTATTTTGAATTACTTTATCCTTTATATGTGGCCGGGATTATTTGGTTAAAGGTTACTCGGTCGGTCTGAGGTTGCACAGTCAATATTTTGGTGTGTATCAATTGGACACATAATGTGATCAACTACATGAAAAAACACATTGTTCTTTTTTAAGTGTATCAGTTTGCTTTTATATTGAGTTTCTAAGAAGGTGAGTTGAATAAGGTAAAATTAAAAATAACCGGTTTAGAAGTGATGCACTTAAATAATAAAAGTCAATTTAGAAGATGGTGCACTTAAAATAAATCGAAGTAAGAAAGTGTATTATTTGAATTTAGATAGTGTGGGAGATGTATAAGTGATGATTATCTTTAACTATATGTTATAAAATCTTTAATAACAAGTTAATTGATTGTTAAAGTAGGTTTCTTGTTTTACAAAAAATTTGAAGCTATAATTTCATTAGTAGTTAAGTTTGTATCTCAATAGATAGCTACTTGATTGCTATCTAAATGGATCATGATCACTTATAAATGATTTGACTATTATGTTTTCTTGTTTTCCAAGCTAGTTTCTCATAATCATCAAGCTAATAGTTGACTAGATAATTCTAAAATTTGCAATCAAGCCTCTGATTACAATCATCAGAGATGCTCTAATAATATACTCCTGTGTTTCTTTTTTAATTTTTGGTCATATCCTCGTAAAATGTATTTACGCTTTTTTCATCCACTTTCTCTTACTTTATCCATCTAAATCTTACACTCATTCACTACAAGAGTTGGCAATCAAGTTAATTAGAAAAAGTCATTTTCGGTATGAATCATTCGAGTTGATTTAAGTTTTATGGGTCATTTTTTTATTCTATTAATTAAATACATAATTTATTTATAAAAAAATAATCATTATAAAAACTTTAATTATCAAGTTAGTTTAAGTCAAGTGAGGATAGTCTGTATCATACTCTGTATAAGAATTGAGCCAAGTAATTTCAAGATTTGGTTAGGTAATCGTGTATGGGTCAGTGTACTAGACCAAATAAACCGTGAGAGTTGAGGCACGGTCAATGTCCTTTTTCTTACCTTGAAAAAAAAATTCACAAATAATATTCCATGCGTTTTTAAATACTTGCTTTACTTTTCTATTTCGACAAATTTTTTTTTTATTTTTTATTTATTTATTTTTTTGGTATTTTGAATTAAATAAATAAATAATTTAAATTCTATTCAGTACAGCGGGAGGAGGAAATTCTTTAGAATCCCTTCCGTAGAAGCGCGTATACATTGAACTGGCTTCCCAGCTTTCTCTCCTCCATTGTTGAAGCTTCTGAGGTAAGATGTTCTTTTTTTAAAAAAAATAAAATAATCATGATTTAACTATTAGTAATTTAGGGTTCTTCTAAAATAAATTGATAAACTGTTGATAAATGGTAATCGAATCAATTTTGCAAGAAGATTTACATTTGATTTTCGAGTCTAATTTGATAATTAAATCAAAATTGGTTGCTATTTGTTGCAGGATTGTGTTTATAATCCTTTAATGTTTGTTCGCAGTCCTAATTTGCATCCTTCTGATGTTCATATGTCATCTGTTCCAATCCCTGCTACTGCTAAAGGCGTTACCTTGAACAATATTGCTCAATCAAAGGTTTAATCTGTTCCTTTTTATGTATTTCTTTGTTGGATTTTCTTAATTGCTAAGATATAGGGTATGTTTAGTGAAGTATTGAATCAATGTTGCTGCTTTTTTACTTAGTATTTTAGATTTTATGAAGTCATCACTTTTGATTTAGGTGGGATTTGTGTCTTACCTGGCTAAAGTTTGTGGGTGTTACATAATTAAGTTGTCTCGTTCGCCCCGTTGAGATTGTGATTTAATGATCTTGAACGGGTCGGTTTAGTTGCAAAAGTAGTACATCTAGGTTCCCTTCCATGTGGTATTTGTACAAATATTTGCATGAAATTTTGAAGGTTGTTGTAAGGGATTTGAAAAAGATAATTAGATTCTAGGAAAATTCTAACACTCTCAAAATGACTTGTAAGATTATGGAACATTTTTCGGGTATTAGAGCAAAATGAAGGAGTTTCAATAGGTTCTTTTATGCTCTTTCAGTCCCAATCTAATTATCAGACTTTCCATTTACACCCAATCTAATTTCTTTGTCCCATTTCCTCTAATTTATGGACTTACCAGTAATTTATTACTTCTCTCTTGCGATTACCTAAAGTTAGGGTCTCAAAATCCCTCTCATTCAATTATAAAATCCCTCCACTCATTCAATTATATATACATATATACATATATACATATATATATATATATATATATATATACATATATATATATATATACATACATATATATATATATATATATATACATACATATATATATATATATACATATATATATATATATATATATATATATATATACATATATATATATATATCTATTAAATTAGGATGGAGGGAGTACAATGCTATGTTCAAAATTAGTAGGCCCAAGTATAGAAGTGTAGGTTGAGTTATTACTAAGTAAAGCTACATTGCAACTGCTCATCAATAGTCTCAGGTTGTGCTTGAGATAAGACTTGAAAGTAACAAACTATGCATTGCTTATTGAGGACTGACCAAAACTTTTTAATTTGTTCTTTTTTTCTCCATCTTATTTTTCATATCATGGGACAATTTTGTCTTGGTTGCTTATGATAAAGTTGCTTTGAAAATTTCCATACTCAGGGCCTCGGCGTTTCTGCCAACCGAGAGGTGGTTATTTGGTCGTTTATGGTAGATGTGCCTTGCAGAATTACATACTTGTGCTCTTTTGTTACTTGGTATTCTATGATTAACGTGCTTTGCATTATTGCATTTGAATGCTTCTATTTAACTCGTAGTTTTTTTTTAACTTTCTTTCTTTTTTTCTTTTTTTCTTTTTTTTTTAATTCTTATCGAAAGCTTCTTTGTTCAGGCTGGTTCATTTTCCTTCTCTGCTCCTCATAATGATGCTCCTAAAGATCCTATGTGAGAATCTCTTCTGGCCTAGCTCTTTGCTCGTGTGAGCTTTAGTTTTAAGGTTGTAGACCGGTAGCCATGATTAATGCTTTGACTTATGCAGAGACAAAGACAAAGATGATACTTTGGTCACTCTTAGAGATCGAAAGGTTGGGTATATTTTTCTTTTTATGAATGATGTGTATGTGATAATCAGCCCCAGAACAATAAAGAATTGTTTTGACTCTTCATGTGGGAATAAGTTAGTTATTTTCAGTTAATGCAGGTTGGGGAAGGTGTTTAGGTTTTTGTTTTATTATACTACGTATGTTTCTTGTGTTTGACTTATCCACTTGGCATTTTAGCTTATGCAGTTAGGTGTTTGAGTCTATACATTAAGATTAAAAGATGCTTATCAGTTTGCATAGTCTTTTGCAACTAGGAATAGTTATTATTACTTTATTAGTCCTATTATATTTAGGATTATATTTCTGCATTAAGGACACGTGTGAGGGACTTAACAAGATTGTACGGACTAGTGTTGGGAAGACAGAAGACAAAAGAGTTCGCTATTACAATTGGAGTACATCAAGGTTCTACACTTAGCCTTTTTCTTTTTTCCATAGTCATGGACAAATTGACGAGTTCAATTCACAGATGATATACCATGGTGCATGATGTTTGCCGATGATATTGTGTTGATTGATAAGATGAATGAAGGAGTAGGAAGTAAGTTGGAATTGTGGAGACGAACTTTGGAACCTAAGGCTTAAGGCTAGTAGAAGTAAGATGGTATATTTGAAATGTAAAGTTTAGCTGAGTTAGAATTAGGGAGCTAGGGGCAAATTTACCTTAGGTGGGAGGATTGTTCAAGGTTTTGATTTCTTTGATTTATTAATCAAAGCAAGTTGGTTGAAGTGGAAGAGTGATACAAGGTTTTTATGTGATTTCGGCATATCAGATTGAACTCATTGAAGGGTAAATTCACCGTATGACAATCATGCTTGCATTGTATAATGTACGGAAAGTTGGGGTGTGAAGCATTGTCACTTTCATAGGATGAATGTGGGACATGTGGAAGAGATTTGTATGTTGTGTTGGATGTGTGGCCATACAAGAAAAGATTTATTGAGAAACGAGATGATTAGGAAGAAGGTACAAGTTACATCTATTGAGAACAAGATGAGGGAGAACCGTCTAAAGTGGTTTGGCCATGTAAGATGGAGATCAAGCGAGGTTCCAATAAGGAGTCTTGAAGAGTGGCAAATGATGGGATCGTGAGGGGTTGAGGAAGACTTGAGAAAACTTGGAAGGGGGTGGTTTATACTGATATGAATTTTTTGGGAATTGAGGGCAATATGACATTGTGTGGGGTGGAGTAGAGGGAGAAAATGCATGTCGAGAGCATGTCATGACTTAATGTGTGTACTCATGTAATTTATATTATATACTTATTTAATTTTGTGCCTAAACTTGTGTTTTTCAAACTATTTATTTCCTTTGTTAAGGCTCTTTCAAATATATTATATGTATTTCCTCTCTTTTTTTATATCCTGCTAGCACTCTTTTAGAAATTTTCTCAAATTTTGTTGTTATTGCTGTACAAATGGGGGTCATGGGGATAATTGTCTTGATGTCGCAGCCTCTACTTTCTAATTTCCTGAAAATCTTGGTCTGGACATTTTCCTGTGCAATTATAACTTGAAACCGAATCATTTTTTTATCTTCCATCAAATTTCTATACTAAGTCTGTTTTGGCTACTTTTTGCAGGTCAGGATTTCAGATGAGGCTTCATTATATGCGCTCTGTCGATCTTGGTTGAGAAATGGATACGTAAAAGATAATCAAGTACGCAAACGTTGGTCATATTACTCATTTATACTGTTCTTATTATTGAGTGATGAGTGTATAATGAGTTTGATCTGTGGACCTTTTTTAATCTATGCAGAGCATATGCAACTGATTCCCATTTATCTATATATCTCTAAGCAATTGTTTGTTTGACCAAAACCATATTTTAGTCCTGGAGATTAAATTGGGGGAGGTTGTTATTAGGATATGCCAAATAGCTAGTAGTTATAATCTCTATCAATCCTTGGCTGTGGAGTATTTTGTTGGATTTTGAAGTACTGAAGATTTTGTATGCTGTTTTCTTGTTTATAGTTCATCTATATTTTCCATCTCCATTTACTAAATTGTTTTAATACTTGCAGCCACAATATGGTGATGTTTCAATGTCTCTTCCGAAGCCCTTGCCTGTGCCTCTGCGTCTGTATGAATCTTCCTCGCCTAAGAGAAAGGATAGAGATGATGAATATGAATCAGAAGTTGATGAGGTTGGTTCTTCTTGGACTATCATATTATAACTATACTGCATATCTGTTATCTTAAATATTATCATAAAGTTTGAACCTGCATAGGGGTATTCTTGCATTCTATCTTCCAATACCTGTCATATTGATATTTTATTTTACAGTTTTCTTTTGTGCAAGATAGTAACTACTTTATGATTGTGGAAGATTGAAGATGGTTTAACTTAATAATTCATTATATGTTGGTAAGTGCAATTCAGTTAGCAAGCTAATCAGTAGCTATTTTTGGATGCCTTTAGAGCATTCATGACGAGTTTTGGATGTTGTTGAAGAATTAATCATATTATTTGGATATTGTATGAGTATCCATGATAGATCTTGAATAACATTAGATTACTCAAAATAATTTAGTATTGTAGTGTGTAGAATTAATTCATTTCTGTTTTTGACATGACTGTAGCATTCTTTTATATTCAATAGAATTGGAATATTCTAGTAGGCACCTTGAGTTTTAATGCTGAGATAATTCAGAGAACTTGGAAATAACTATGGGGTGACCATCCATTTATAGCTAGTGTTAGTAGTGTGGAGGTGTGAATAAAGGGGAAAAGAAAGAGAGAGAATTGAAAATGGTGGAACTGGTGACTTTTAAATTTGGGGTTTGAGGGAATTCTCTAGCTCTGTTAATCGGATGGTAAGCAACGGTGAAAGCTTCCATGTGAAGGAACAGGAGACGAGGTGAGTCAATCAGTCAATGTATTAAGTGGAGTTGCAACATAAAGGAAAGTGGGGAGTAAGGAGGCTTTATATGTCTTGGATATAGGGGTTAAATATGATCAGAAGAAATTTGGTTTAAGTAAATCAACCTACTTACTATAGACTTCCAATTCAGTTAACGTGTGGAAGACATAAGCAGAATGACCATTTGGGGAATGCAGATTGGTGTTGTTAGGAATCCTGTTATTGCCTTGCCCATGAAGTTGGAAGGATTTAATGAATAATAGGAGTTGGTTTAGAGCTGATCATATGTCGGATTGGGCCAAAGTTGGGTCAAATATGCGTGTTTCTCAGGCCAAGTTGGTCTATTAGGCCAACAAATTGGACTGGTTGTATTAATATAAAGAGGACAGTTAAAAGGGAGAATTATCTGATATATTCAGTAATTCTTTCTTTCGTCCTTGTAGATCAATTAGCTACTTTGAGGCCTTGGTTGTATTAAGTCCCTGGTTATTTACTTGCATCAATAATACAACAATCTGTCGATTTCCTTACATTTTCTATTTTATTGAATGTTATTCCTATTCTATGACAATTGCACTTAATTAAAGGGGAATAGGAGAGGATCTATGTCGATGATCACTAGAGGTAAAATCTTTGTTCATACAACTGACCCCATTGTATTGAAATTAAGCTTTGGTATTGTTGTTGTATTAAAATTGCTTGATGGTTCCCTCTTTTCTGTCTGGAGTTGTTGATTACTTTCTCTGTGCTCTGTTGGCCGACTGGTGTCTACTAGCTGTGTAGGACCTAAGTAGCTGACTTAACTCTGTGATGTGAATCTTTTGGGCATTGGGCTGTGTCTAGTCCATTATTATGCAAAAAAACAATTATTTTGGTTTGAGGATGGGTCTCGTTGGAGCTACTCTTTTTTGATTGGGAATTGAATAAAAGACAAGTGGATTTGGCCAGGCTACTCAACCTGTAGTGGTTTTGTGTATTTTTTTTAATTATAATATGAGGGGAGGGGCTTCTATGTTTAGAGCCTGTTTATCGTCTTTCCTTAGTTTCTTTTCTTTATTTATTTTTCTAAAAAAACTTTCTTAATTATATTATTAAAAACAAAGTGGATAAGAAGATTCTCATGGTGTGACATTTTTCAATTGTGTTCATCCCACTTCCCTCTTTCTGCATGCAGGTTGAGATTCCATGTGCTGAAGTGCTGCTAACCAGGCATATTAAGCGAGCTAAAAGAATTCGAGCTAGGTATATCCGAATATCCCTCGTGATTCTGTGTGGCTTAAATGGTTTATTTATTAGCCATGATTGAAAACTCAAGTTGACTTTCTGCATCAAATGCCATCTCTGAATCACATGCGTTCTCGATTTGTAGATTATTGCAACACTTAATGTTATTGGACGTCTTAAAATAATTGCATCACTGAAACATTCTGAAATCTTAGATACCTGTTTCTAAATTATCCCTTTCATAAACCAAAAGATAAAAACAACCCGACCACCTCAACAGACATAATTAAAATCCAAATAACTAGAATAACCCCACTACCCCAGCCAACTTAATAATTAATGTGACAACACCAACCACCGCCCTGTTGTACCTGCCAACCACCCCCACTTTCCACCCCCCTCCAACCTCATCACAGCTTCATGACTACATGTACCAGCCAGGCAGCCACGACCATCTTCCTGCCTACCATCGCCACCACTTAAAACATTGGTCACCACCGCCTCACAATGTAACTCAACATCAAAATCCTAGTCACCTATCTGCCGCAAACCACAGCCAACTCCTTTTGGAATGCACAACCTCTCAACCAGACAATCACCACGTTGAAGCCTTATCAACAATTAAAAACCACAACTGCAACCATGAAGAGATTCTAGATAGCTTCACTGTTTTAAAAAGTATTTTTAACTCCCGTTTATACGTAGTAATTTTTTTTGAACTGATTTTTACATCATAATTATAACAATTTGGTCTTCCTTCTAGATAGGCTTGATTATAACTTTCATTCCCCTAAGGTATAATAGAAATTTGAACAGTTTTTTCAGCTATGTGACCTAATTAATGAGAAACTTTATTTTTATTTTATTTTTTGTGGTTTTTTAATTCATTTTATTTTTAAAGAAAAAAATGGTAAGGAGAAGGCCTATCGTAGGAGGGGGAATTTTAGGAAAAGTGACCTCCGAGAACGAGCTTGGTGAGATTCGACGAAAAACCACTCTAGCCCTCCTATCTCAATAAAAAAACTTCTAGTGGAATGTGAAAAAATGATAATTAAATTTTAATCTCCTCTATACCGTAGAAAAATCTCCTCTCTGTTTTGTTTGCTTTTGTGGGTATACATCAAGCTAATGTGGTTGGAGTTTCCAGTTGTCAGTGCTTCAATGTATTAGGTGATATCCCGGTAAAATATGGATTAACTTTGTCAAACTTTTGCACCTCTTTGCAGATTTAGAGAAGAAAGATCGCAACGAATTGACAGATACAAAAGTAGGCTTGCTCTTCTTCTTCCTCCTAACAGAAATATGCAGGAATGATACAATCAATGGTCCATGATTCAATTCAATGCTATACCAGGTCTGCTGTTATCATGCATTATCTATTGGCAAATGAAATCTGCCCTTTTGAGTGTATTTGATGAAGCAGAGAACCTAAAGCCATTCATCTATCCTTTAAATTTTTACTTGCTTGTTAATTTCCTGAAGGACTTATTTCACACCTGAAACAGTTACTTAGGAAATTTCCAATCAGTCATTGATCTGGCAGTTGATAGGAGTATCACTTATTAAGCGATTTTCTAGCAGTCGGATTGTATTATGAGAATGCTGTATTTTTCATCTTCAGTAATTTTGTACAGAGGTAGGAGCATTAGAGGCTGGGAATTTCTCCCATAATTATCGTTCTAATTCATCTTGTAAATTTAAGTTAGCATAAATATTCCTTCAATCCTAGCTACTCCAAGTGCCATATATACTTTTTTTTTTTTTTTTTTTTTTGAGGAAAAGTGCCATATATACTTCGACCACTTACCATGGGATATAGTCATATAGCTTTAGGTGATATGATAGAAAGATGCCATGGGAGGAAAAGATGAAGGAAATCTTGTTTTCCCTCGAAAAAGTGTTCTTGATTTTTAAGAGAAAGAAATGAGATTATAATGCAATTATGAAATTTAGGAAAGATTTGCACTCTATTTGTTCTGAATATGTTTTTTTTTTCTCATACAATGTTAAATTCTTCATATACTACCTCCAATTTTTTTTAGTTGCAACTTTGGGGTATTATTTGTGAGATATAAAATATTCCAAAGTTGCAACTAAAATAAATCGGAGGTAGTTATATATAATCTTTCTTTTATGAAGACTTTATCTTTGCAAGCGCACAAACATGGATTTGTCTTGAATTTAGGAGTACGATTTTGTGTTTATGGGTTAGGCTTAGAAAATAAAGACTAAAAAAAAAAGCCCTCCATGAGCCACGTTAGCACAACTGCACAAGGTTATGAGTTGAAGTAGAGACGTGATTGTATTAATGAATATTTTTCAATATTCTTTAGTGTATTATTTTGGAGGGTTAGAGGTTTGCATCTATGAAGGAATGTGAGGCATTGTTTGGTTCACAATTCACATAGGAATAAAAGTTTCAAAAGCATTTGTATTTTATTAGATGGAGGAATCTACAGAGGAATATGCATTTGTTGTTCATTGAAATTAAATCCCATATCAAATTTCTTGAGAAATGGCTTAATTTGTTTGGATGTTATGAAGGCATTTGCAAATCTTCAGAATTGGAGGGCTTGGTAATCAAATTCTTATGTTTTATGGAAATTGAAAATATATCTTTATATACTATATTAATTATTAAGGGTCTGTTCTAATTTACTGAACTGAAGAAGAAAATTAGAAGCTGAACTAATTGGAGCTCAACTAGACTGAACTGAAATTAAGCTTAAAAAAAATAGGCCCTAAGTGGAATCTTTATAAGGGCTTGATAATCAAATTCTCATTTATTTCCATCGGTACACCCGTCAAAATAACCCCTAAAACCTTAACCGAACAATTACTATCACAAAATAGTAAAGACACGCAAATCAAGACATTTTTTGACACGTATATGAGACATTTGCGTTATTTTTTTTAAGCTAATTTGAGGTTAATTTGGATCATTATAAACTAACATGACTCTCAAAACTTTAACCGAATAATTTTCGACACACAAATCGAGACATTAGATGTTTAAAAGGGGTATTATAGTCTTTTCCTTAATTATTTTAACTTAGTGAAATATTTTTTAACGGTGTTGTCACGGTTGGGAAAAAGACCAAACCATAAGTGTACCGATGGGAAGGCAAAAATTTAGGAGTGTATCAATGGGAAAAGTCAAAACAACAGGTGTACCAATGAGAATTTCCCTTTATTTATTATTAGGAAAAATAAACATTAATAATCCAAAATATGAGTAATTTATTTCTAATAATCCCAAGTAAGGTTTATTTTTTAATAATCCTAATTTTTATGTCAGTTTGCCACTAGCAGTCCCAATCGGTAATCAATCTAATATAACATGTTGCTTTGACACGTGGTATCACGTGAGTGGTTAAAAAAATATTAATAAATAAAAATTAAAAAGCTAAAAAATTAAAATAAAAAAAAACCTCTCCTCCATACTAGCCACCCCCATCCCCTTAGCTCAGCCGGAATCCGCTGCTTCCTCCCTGGAAACCTCCCCTTTCCCCTTCCACTCCACCAAAATAACCACCTTCCCCAGCCCTACCCCCGAAACTGCCCCCATTCCTTCCCCCATCCTTGAAATTGCCATAAACTAACCTCCAATTATCTGCAAAATCACCACCCTCTCACCTGCTTGCCCACTCGTGAAACCACCCCAACCTCCCTCCTTTTCTGCCTAGCTCCTCTCGCTAAACCACCCCAACCTCCCTCCTTATCTTCTTTACCCCTTAGACTTGCTAGCAAAACTCCCCAACCAAGGTTTTTTTTTTTTTTATTTTAGGCGAGGGAGGGAAAAGAGGGGTGGTTATTCACTTGTAGAATAAACGTAGTGGGAAGCCCCAAATGGCAAGCGGTTTTAAAAATCCGCTTTTCATTAACCCGATTTTTTTTAAAAAAAACCTGAAATAAGCAAATGGCAAGCGGTTTTGGTGAACCGCTTGCCATTTGTTAGAGAAACCCTAAAAAATAAAAGGTCCATCTATATATTCTCTCTCCTCCCCTTACCCCTCAATTCTCACGCTCTCTCTCCTCCCCTCCCTCCATTCACGACATTCACTCTCTCTCTCCTCCCCTCCCTCCATTACCTCTCAATCTCACGACCCTCACTCTCTCTCCCCTCCCCTTACCCCTCATTTTTCTTACGCTCTCTCTCCTCCCCTCCCTCCATTTTCTCTCTCCTCTCATTTCTCAAGCGAACCCTTGAAGCACAAAGACCGACGTACCTTTGAAGCACGACGACCAACTTTTCTCAGGCCTTACCACGACGACCGACGAGTACCCTTGAAGTCCGGTGCATGTGGGTTTTTGATTTTTTTAGGTCAAATTCGACCATAAAAACTCTAAATGTAGAGTTTTCATGGTCGAATTTGACCCTTAAAACCCAAATTTTAAGCCAAATTCGAGGTTTTGGTGGAATTCATGTATGTTCCCTTTTTTATTTTTATTTTTTAAGTTTTTTTTTTTAATTTTATGGTGATTTGGTGGTTAAATTGGTTTTTTTCAGGCCGCCGATTTGGTTTTGGTGGGGGTCGTGGACTCGTGGTGGACGAAGTGGGCTGGGATCTGGTGGATGGTGGTGGTGCTGGGGCGTGGTGCACGTGGATCTTGGTGGTGGTGGTGCGCGTGGATGGTGGTGGTGGTGGTGCACGTGGACGGTGGTGGTGCTGGTGGTGGATAAAGAGCTTTCTCTTTTATTTTATTTTTTTAGACAACTTATATTAATTTAATTAGTTGTATTAATTTATATATATGTGTGTGTGTGTGTGAGTGAAAATGTAATACTTACATCAATTAATTAAGGATAATTTGCCAATTACTACCGCAAGTTAATACTACTTTGTAAATTACTACCGCAAATTAAAAAAGTTGTGAATTACTACCGCAAAATTTTTTAAGATGATGCGATTACTACCAAACCCCCATTAAACCCAACTATGACGTCATTATATCCCTTTAACTCGTGTTTAACAATGGTTAAGGGCTTTAACCAGCCCCCCCCCCCCCAAAAAAAAAGAAAATGGTTTAGGGATATAATGACGTCATGGTTAAGGGCTTTAACCATGGATTAAAGTGATATAATGACGTTATAGTTGGGTTTAATGGAGGTTTGGTAGTAATTGCACATCTTAAAATTTTTTGCAGTAGTAATTCACAACTATTTTAATTTGCGATAGTAATTTACAAAGTAGTATTAACTTGCGGTAGTAATTGGCAAATTTTCCATTAATTAATTAAAAATATTGTTATTTTTATATTTGTTTTGTTTGTGTATCAATTTCAGTTGAAAAAAAAATTATTTTTTATAGCTCTAATGGGCAGCGGTTTGGCGTCAAAACGCTGCCCTTACTTTCTCTTCAAATGGCAAGCGGTTTTGAACCGCTTGTCATTTAAATGGACAATGGCAAGCCCCCCAAGAGCGAGCGGTTTAAAACCGCTTGCCATTGGGGGGTTTGAACAGCTTCTCTTTACATTTATTCTACTAGTGATTTGAGGTCGAATTGCTGCGACTAAGCGGCGAGTAATTAGGGGTTGGTGGGGGTGGATCGTGGTTGGTGCTTTTGGGGGTTGGGAGGGCTGTCGCTAGCGGTGTGAGTCTGCGGGAGGATCAATTATTGTATCGGTGGCTGGTGGTTTTGGGGGTATGGAGATGTGTCGGTTGGTGGTATTGGGGTGGCTGGTTTTTGGGGGTTGGCCTAGGGTTTCACGGTGGGTGAAGGGATGAGGGGTTGGTTGGGATGGTTTTTGTTATTGTGAATTGCTAAACACCGCCAACATTCGGTGTGAATGGACAATCGTACTGTAGGGAATATTTCAAGCGTTACCCCTAGCTTGAACCCCACTGTGATCATACACTTAAGTATGGTGGCGTCCAAAAGGAAAGAAGATAGAGCAAAAGAGTCGCCAACAAGTTTTTTAGGAACTTGTAAACCGTTCATAGGGAGAAGGTTACACCCCTTAACGATCCAAGAGATCATCAACTCCATAAGGTATTGAACCAAATAGGGTTCGGGGATGAAGGTACAATTCCAACCTAAAAGAGATTGAACCTGCCCTAATAATAGGCCTTTACTTTATTCTGATCGTATTCACGTGCGCTTTCTGACTAACATGCAATCAATAGGTTTAACCCTAAACCTGTTTATCTATGTTGGTTGAATATTAATGCACAAACAAACTATTATTGGCGATCACTTTAGTTATAATCAAATTAACCCTAAACAAGATTATTAATTATCTTATTAAGCGTGATTACAAGTACCAATTCCCTTTAAACATGCATAAAAGGTGTGATCAAGCAATAACAATAAAATCATCAAGCAACATAATAATAATCATAATAACAATTATAATTATCATAATAATTATGTTAAAGAATAATAATAGCAAGATCATAGGCATGATACTAACAAGATTAATAACAAACCCTAGCATGTCACTAAACATTAAAAATCAAATCTTAAACCCTAACATGATACTAACAATCATAAATATTAGAAAGAAAATAGAAAGCATCATACTTTTAACCATACTTGATATTAAAGTTACCCTAGTCATGATACTAGGAATCATAATAGCAATCTAAGCATGATTTTTATATCATAATATCAATTAAATCATTAAAGTACTTACTTGGATGCCTCGTACCTCTTTCTAATAACAAAATACACGCGTTAGTAACTTCAAGGAAAATAATAATTAAACAACAATTAAATAAAATAATTAAAAGAGAGATTTGGGACCAAACCCTCAGAAATTAAACCTTTCACGTCTAGGGCGAAGGCAACTTCGAATATGGCTAGGTGTTTCTAAGTCTTGCGAATGCAGAATTTTTATATTTGTGAAAAGGCTAGTTTAGAAAAGAGAGAGAGTAATCAAGAGAATCTTGATGAGAGTTGGTGAATGAAAACGGGGTTTTTAGGAGACTATTTATAAAGAAAATCAGCCAAAAAGATAGAAAATCAAA